GGTTTCGCGTTCTGCAGCAGTGTAATTTCGCTCCGCTTGTGACAGCTTACGGCTGGCATATGCCACAGGATGCCAAGCACTATCGCTTTCCCCTGTTGGAGAAGGACGCCTGCTATTGCAAAATCACTTGCGTCTGTTGCAACTCTGAAAGGCTTCTGCACGCTTGCTAGTTTCAACAGCGGTGCACTCAACAAGGCCTGTCTCAGGGATTCGAATGCATGCTGACGGGGGCCACTCCATTCGAACCTGGCATGTTTGCCAGTGATCTCCTCTAATGGCCGCGATATAGTAGAGTAGTGCTCAATAAATCTTCTAAAGTAGTTCGCAAAAGCAAGGAACTGTCTCACCTCCGTAACTGTCGTCGGTGGCTGCCATTCCCTCACTGCTTTAAGCTTCTTTGGATCTGGAGCGATACATTCACCGTCGATGCGATGCCCTAGAAACAGAACATCCTTGACACCAAACTCACATTTCGACTGCTTACAGAATAGCCTATTTTTCCGGATCGTCTCAACAACTGTCTGGATATGTTCAAGATGATCTTCCCAGGATTTGCTGAAGATAAGAATATCATCCAGAAACACTACCACAAACCGCCGTAAGTACGGTTGGAGAATACTGTTCATCAGTGACTGAAACGTGGCAGGGGCGTTAGTTAATCCAAAGCCCATGACCCGGAACTGGAAATGACCGAAGGGAGTATTGATAGCCGTCTTAGGTACATCTTCCTGACGGATCCTAAGCTGATTGTATCCCGAGCGTAAATCCAGCTTACTGAAGTATGAGCTACCTTGAATGGTATCAAACAGGTCATCAATGTTTGGGAGGCAAGCTTTGCTTTTGATGGTGATCCTGTTCAAATTCCGCCAATCACAAACCATGCGCAATGAGCCATCAGACTTTTTAACGAAAAAGACTGGGGCACCGTATGGTGACTTGCTGGGTTCGATGAAGCCCTTGCGGAGGAGTTCCGCGAGCTGGGCTTGCAATTCGTCCATCTCGGGTTTGGGGAGACGGTAGGCAGCCCGTGATGGAGGAACGGCACCCTCCTCAGTCACAATCTCATGGTCGACATCCCTCTCTGGCGGAAGCTCGGTCGGCAGGTCGTCTGGAAAGATGTCCGAGTACCGCCGCAGAAGGTTAGCCAGCTGCTCTTGATGATTTGGGTGTTGTCTGGCGGCTGATGGCTTGCTGTCCTCCTCCTCGTCGTCAGTAGCGTTGACCCACGCCAGGATTCCCTGCGCGCCTTTCCTCAACTCGCGGCGAGCCTGGGAACCAGATATGAGCATGCTCTCAATTGGCGGCGACTCCTGATGCTTCGTATCACTATTTTGGCCGGAAGGGGGTTTAGCAAAGAGCGGCTCTCCGTTCAGTTTGACTTCGTTGGTCTGAAAGTTGATATCCGGATTGTGTCTGGTCAGCCATGGCTTGCCCAGGATAGCATCATAGCGGCTCAACGGAAAAACTGTGAAAGATTGGGTGTCGCTGAAGTCTTTCACGATAACCTTTACCGGACCGGTCCTCTGCAGTCCCGATGATGTCGATGAGCCATCAGCCAGGGTTACCTTCAGTGTTTCGTCCTTGCTCTCCGTAACAAGGCCGTTTCTTTGCACGAAAGCTTCCGATATGAAGTCGTGCGTCGATCCCGAGTCAATAAGCATAATTGCCCGGCGGCCGTTGATCCTGCCCTCAACACGGAGAAGGTCATGCTCCAAAGGAAGCTCCGTGTCCTGTACTGCGAGATCAACGTTGCTGACATGGGATTCCTGTTCGGCAACATCTTCCGAATCAGCTTGCAGCGTCGGTTCTTCCAGCTCTAGAACGCTGTAACGGTTGCGTATGTCAACCGGGTAACCGTTGGGTGCTTTCCGCTTGGTCGCCAGCGAGCGCACGCCATTCTTCACTGGCGACCAGCGTTTGGGTGTTGATTGCTGGGACAATCCCGAGCTAGGTGACCTGGCTTCCGACAAGCGAAGCATCCACCCTGCCGACTCAGGTGACGCCTCTCCTCCGGTATTAGCCTTTGGGGTCGTACGGGCTGACTTTGGTGCTGAATCGGGTTCGGCTGTTGGTCCGCCGTTTGCGCTGACCTGATTGCTTGGCTCAGATCAGTGGGGTGCTCTCGCAGCACCCGGGTCTTGACAGATGGGTGCAGTCCATTTACGAACAGCAGTCCTCGGGTCAGCTCGTCGATCTCAGGCACTTGTAGGCTTAGGCGTGAGAACTCGGTGACATAGCTCTCCAAGCTTGAGTGCTGCCTGACAGCGAAGAGATCCAGTCGCACCCGCTCTTGATGATGCAACGGACCGTACACCTTGGCGAGGGCTTCACGGAGCGCTGGCCACGTCGAGAACTCCACACCCTTATCCAACGATGCGATGAGCCATAGCTTGGCGTTGCCGCTCAGAAAGCCCGCTGCATAATCCACCATCACCGATGAGTCGGTGATTCCCAGTGACCGAATCACCAGCTCAATGGAGAAAGCCCACTCCTTGAACTGCGAGGGCTTGCCATCGAAGATCGGCGGCTCCATAGCGTACCGAGGCTTCCCGGACGAATGAGCGGGCGGCACAGGGAGCGGTTGTTTTCGGTTGCTCAGACGGACGCTGACTTGGCGACTGGCTTCACGGACCTCGCTGGCCAACCTGAATAGCAACACAGAAAGAACAAGTATCGCCACGACAATGGCGAGCTCCAAGAACACCATGTTAACCATCCTCCGCTACCAGTGTAACCGTTTGAAGGTATTCTTGGAAAAGACAATGCTTGCTCAAGGCAACACAACTGATATAGGGCACTTCGTGCCCTAAGGTGATAACGCGAGTGCTGACAGGATAGGGAAAGGTGCAAGATACAGAGCTAGAGGGCAGATAAGGTTAGCGCTAACAGGGAACTGTTACAACCACGACCATACGAATGTCCACGACCATACGAATGTCCACGACCACTGCTACTACTATGAGGCTGATCAAATTCGAAACTTGCTCCTGCAGAAACCTGTGTTCGTGGAGCAACAATTTCCAAACAGCTGAGTCTCTTTTCGAGGTCTGTCAACCTGCGATCAAGTTTCTCGAGCGTTTGAGCTAGTTGCTCACGCACTCCGGTGTCATTAGACTGGTGCAACTCTGATGCACTGGCATGTTCGCCAGACGGTATCTTGAACGGACGAGGTCGAGGGGATCTGGTCTTCTTTCTACCTTTGGACTTGCCCATCTCGATATCTCACTATCAATAGGGCTTGAAAGTGATGACGTCAAACGGCCAGGGAGTAGTAAGTTGACATCAGATTTCTATTTTTGGATCCACTAAGGTGTGACTTTGCTATTGCCTAAGTATGTGGGTGCATAGCAACCCACTCATGTCGCATGCAGGTGTGACTTTTATTTCGCCACCAGTTGTAACCCCGCCCCCAGTAGCCAAATCAGTCAGTTTCACTGGCTACATCACCATGCTGTGGGTAAGACCGCTTGAAATGTGCTTGGATCCATACAAAAACTGGATCCAAGTGGATCCAGTTTTTGAATTTTTGAAATTGTTGCTATGCTGTGACGTAGCACTTTCAAGCCCTATGGCCCAAGCTACAAACATTTGTAGTTCAAAAAAACTTTTGAAAAATGTTACAAAAAAATTTGACCTACACAAAACACTCTGGTTACGTCACACGGACGTACACGTGCACAGGACATGACGTCAACAGTGTACTTGCTAAGTATGCACGCACACTCACGTCCGCAAAATATTTTTGTGAAAATGTAGCCCTTTCTACACCAAACAAAACTGTTACTCATGCATATGCACAGCGAACGATCAGTCAAGAAGTAAACAATGGAAAACGAGACGAAGGATAGAATGATCAATACTAGTAAATTAGAACTTAGTCTGTGGGCTGGTCTCCCGAGTAGTTGGAACTGGTCGCAGACTCTCTGGAACTTGTCGACTCTGCAACTTGTCTCTCCTGCGGAGGCGTCTTCCCAGCCGAGGACAAAACCGACGACTATTTTTCCGCTGCCACCATTGTAACTCGCATACTCTCGGCACTCAAAGCACATACTTGTAGTTACGTAAGTAGTTATCATTCGTTCATTGTCCCACAAGGAGAAGAAGAAGACAAGGCAGTGCGAGTATGCGCACTGCTATCCTTGCATTCCTACGGTGTACTATTTATGTGTATACAAATTACGTGTCATAAAGTAGCCATGCTACATTTGTGTGTTTGTGTGTTCGTGTGTTTGTGTCACGCCTGGCGCTATCCCGTATCCGTCCCGTACCGTACCGTACCATCAAACACAGCTGGCCACATACAGCTGGCCGCACTATTCAAACAGGGCTTTCAAACGCAAGATCATAACGTGAAGCAACTTGGAAGAATGAGTATGAATGCGAAGTGTATGGAGGAATGCATGTAGGGCGCTAGTGCGGGTTCGAATCCCAGGTATTGAATGCCTGAAAAAATAGGAGAATTGAAAAATTTATAACATCCCTATTCTTTTTTTGCCGTCATCAAGGCGGTAGATGGTGTCGTATTACCCTCGACCATACCTGTCCCGTACCTGTCCGGCACCGTACAATCAAAGACGGCTGGCCACAATGCATATTCAAATAGGGCTTTCAAATACAAGATCATAACGTGAAGCAACTTGGAAGAATTAGTATGTATGCGAAGTGTATCGGGGGATGCATGCAGGGCGATAGTGCGGGTTCGAATCCCAGGTTGTGTCTAAAAACGAAAAGTAGAAATTTATAAGAATTTATAACATCCCTATGCTTTTTTTGTCTAAGTCATCAAGGCAAAAAAGCATAGCGTAGGGCCCTGAGCTTCGAAGCTCTCTCGTTTGGTTCAGTAAAGAGGTGATAGGAACTTAGCAAGTAGGAACAGCTAAAATAACAACAAACAATGTAATGTATTTAGTGACACAAATATCTGGATGCGGATTATACTCCGGAAAATATGGTGAGTATTTTGTCTTCGATTCTACACAGATAGGCAGCAACATACTTACCACGTTTAAGGCGGCTGATGCACCCTTCCATGCTTCGGCTGAAGTTTCGAAAGTCAGAAATTTCTGACAAAACTTTCATTCTGAAAGAGGACAACATGAAAAGACAACATGAAAAGGCGTCAGATGCCGCTTCTTTACGGATGGAGAGGAAAATTCAGATCCACCAATTACAGGATATGGGCAAAGATGAAAACCCAATTTCTGCTTTAACCCTTTATGTACCAGCCATCTAATGTATGTAAAGGGCTATCGCAGCCAAAGAAGCAACCATGGTATCAAATCTAGACAACTTTTGTATATGCAAGTTGTGTTTTCCTGACTCCATATGTATCACTGCACCCAGGTAAGCATGGATATTGGTACAGCATGCAGTAGTATATGAAGGCCATAGGTGGAATACCAAAGATACGTGCCAATTGTGCATATTTCTGACCAACCAGGGTATCACAAACAAATAGACTGAGAATTAGTTTGTGCTCGTGTACTGGGAACATAGGGACAAAACAACCTCATAAGCGTTGTCTCAGTGCATGAAGAGTAACAACATACCAGGGAAATGGTCATATTTTCACACATTTGAGGTAAAACAATTGGTTCAAAATTGCAAATTTTGAATTCTTGTCTCAGATTCGAAATCTATATTTTTCTTCATCTACTCACATCCAGCGTCAGGTAAGTGAAAGAGAAGACAAGAAGCAGTCGCTGGCTGGTGAATTACGCCTGCCTTGACGATTTTAGGCCATCGCTGCCCTCCCTCTCGCTCCTGTTTTGAGAGCGAATACTACGATGGGATCAGCGATACAAATTTTCAATTTCGAGTCGCATTCCGCGATGATATTGCCACAGCCGATCTCTCCAATCGTCCACCACGTCTAGAAGACGTCGACATGACCTAGAACAAGCTACATCTTCGCTACAAGCAGAGAAACTGAGCGAGAACACGATCGAAACAGCGACAATTGTTTGCGCTGAAAAGCATACTTTTGAACGCGTTCGTTCTCCATACTTTCAAATGGCAACCTACCCATATCATACATCAAAATTTTCAGTGGGATCTCAGCTGTCAAGCGCAAAAAACCGCGGGTCGATCGGAGCTACGGCGGCGGGGAACGGCGCGCTTGATTGGAGTGCAGCGAACCGTACCATATGGTACGGTTCGAGATGGGGCTGGTACACAAAGGGTTAATTAATGTTGCCCTGTTTTCCACACCTCGTGTTCCCAACTCACTGTGGTGTACAGCACAGTTGAAGCAATCCTCTTCAAGTCAGGACTTGATCATGATACATATACCTGTCATTGCACAATCATGGTCTGAGAACTCACTCACCGGGCCGGCCTGACTCATTATGTTCGAAATGGTGCAGTACATTTCACTGAACTTTACCTAGGACTGCCGGATTCAACGGTTCTATACTTCATTGTAGAGCAATGCATGAGTAGAACTTACAGTGGTGAAGTGGATAGGAAAACACCACAGCGGCTTCCATCAGCAGCGTGATGCTCAGCATGGCCTGATACATTCAACAGGAAAGAACAGAACACATAATTTAAAAACTATCCATGTCTCTGTGCAGAAAAATTTGATTATAGGAATGGGTATAAATTATAAACTCATTTCATAAAAGGTAAGCATAACACACACCCAACTTGTCATGTATTCATTATTCACAGAGACAATTACTCTTTTTTCGTACAGAATCTCCTGCAAACTGAAGTTCTCTTTGAGACCTGAGCAAGCTCATAGATCAAATGAGCCTCTAAATTCAAAAAGGTGGCTTATGTCATTTTTGAGCATTTTGAGTGATCTATACCCTGGCATTGCTGTATCCCAGCAGATCATTCTGTAAAAACACCTAGGTCTAACATCGTTATCTTTCACAGAGTTATGGGTGTTTCAAAAAGTGAGTTATACATCACTTTATGCGGAAAACACACAACTTTAAAATGCATTTTTCTCAGTACTGCGTGAAACGACATAAGCCCGGATGTTCCCAAGTTGTACTTATTGTAGTGTTGAGATACCCAATTCAAATAAACCAATACAATACAATACAAGAATAGAAAAAGCCCTCTTTTCGGATCTAGAGGCTCAAGTTGTGTTGCAAGACAGTGTGAAGTAGACATTTGCACACAAGTAAACTAACACTAGCATACAGGGAGCACACATGGTGTATTGAGCACATTCAACTTTACCAGCATCATCTTGCCGAGCAGCAGTGGACTGACTGGCTTGATCAGAGTGTGACTGGCTGTTCGAAGGAACGCTCTCCACCGAGTCTGATTGAACAGTAGAGGAAGTGAATTTAAAAAATATCCATGTCTCGGTGCAGAAATATTCGATTTTAGGAATGTGTATTAAATCCTAAAGGTCAGCATAACACACATATCTAACCAGTCATGTGTTCATTATCCACAGGGGAAATAATTCTTTTTTTCGTATAGAATCCCATGCAAACTGAAGTTCTCTTTGAGACCTGAGCAAGCCCATAGATCAAGTTGTGTTGCAAGATAGTGTGAAGTAGACATTTGCACACAAGTAAGTAAACTAACACTAGCATACAAGGAGCACACATGGTGTATTGAGCACATTCAACTTTATATTAGCAACGAGGAGATAATAGCTTTCCCTGATAAGTGTGTCATTAAAATTGATTACGAAATTTTGCATTCAGATTCATCATATTATTTTCTTTTGTTTCGTAACGTCCGCCTTACTAATACAATTCTTGACTTGTTTTATCGGTTGAACGCGCATTATCGACATCAAGGTTTTAAGTTGTGCATTCACCTCGTAATGCATGCTGCCAGAACCCTCTGGTTGACTTTGCTATGAATGAAGCCACAGTTTTCACATCTGACAATATGAAGATTGCTTCAACACTTCTACACCTAGGTATCTGACAATAGCGAGATTGCTTCAACACTTCTACACCTAGGTGCCTAGCGTGGTATTTGCATTCACGGTGCTTGCAATGCTTTTCTTTTCTCCAGCAAATTTTCAAGACAGGATGATACAGTTTGTTTTACATCACCAGGCATACACATATGGGATAGGTATGCAATGAGATTGGTGATCTGTCTACTCATGATTAGTCACACGCGTTTAATCAACACACTTCTGATAAGTCACACACCATTGGCATTGACTCATGCACTCAGCGTAAGTCAAGCACTTTCGAAAGAAGGACATTAAATTTCTGGACAGGCAAGCGCAGCGAGGTGGGCAATGAAATATTCCTCGGGCAATATGTTTCGGTTGCAAGTATGGCATGTGATGTGTTCTTTATCGTTGTTTCTATTCCTGGCTTACTCAATCAGGTTTGAGTCTCATCAGGGTCCTTGCCCTCTCAACCTTCATTTCTGTGCAAATCAATCTTGCTTTTTCAAACTTTTGCTATGATGTGCTTTGCCTGCTTCCATGATGCCATACAATCACCATTGGGGACATGCACCTGGTTTTCCCCTCACTACTACCTGCTTTGGCGCGAGGATTTTCACCAGCTGGCGCGGTCCAGGAAATTAATCTGACCGTCCCACGTACTTCAATTAGCAGCGCTGTTCTACATTGTGACCCGTCCTTGTAATCCTCGTGCATACTGTCTTCTTTCCATTTAAGTCATTCTGTTCTCAATCAGTATTTCTAGCCTTATCTCGTTATCCGGTTCACATCTATCTGCGGTCAACTGTCCTTCAATTAGTGTGCTGTTCCTATTTATGAATACGTCTGTCTGTAAAACAGAGATGTTCCAAGCTGTCCAAGAGAGTGCTCAATACCGAGAGGTAGAGCGGATTCAGACAATAAGAGGACAAAGAAAGTGTTTTAACTCTGAGTTTCACGCACTAAGCGATCATCAGAAACAGTTACTATTGTCTGTATGTCTGTCTATATGTAATATGTATTATTAATAGACTTATACCTCTCCATATTCACCCTATCATCCCTACAGCTCAACAAACGAGTCATGTTGGTCATACATGTACTTGGTCCGCCCAGTTAAAATTGGCGCTTATCTTCACACTTGTCTCAGGAAAGAAATACGAATATTTGAAGCAAGCCACGATCACAAAGCACTATATACATGATTATTTACATGTCAGTAAGCAACTCAGTCGAAAATTCAAGCAAGTTACACATCCTCCTCGCCACTATCGTCGCTGGAGGAAGAGCTCAAAACGTACGATCCGGACAGCTGCTGCACGGGTCGTTTCATAGCTTGTTCCACTTCTCCTCGTCTCGAATCACGCTCAAAGGCAGTGCGTGCCTGTCACCTTCCCATCAGAAGCTGAGTGAGACTGCCCGCATGTTGACTGTAAGTGTTATCCCCGTTCGTCGCAATAAGGCGACTTTGTTTGAGACAAAAAGGCAACGCCATATCAGTGTCCTTTTTTCAAATCGCCTCTTGCGCTTGTCGTACTTGCTGATCAGCACCCGTGCCCACGCGAGCCGCTGGTGCTTGTAGATCTACATGCAGCGCAGTGATAGCTTCCGCTTGATGTAGCACCTGTGCGTACTGCACCTACAACGCCGTGCACCAGGCTTTTCGGCTAGTTTCCTGAAAGTCCTTTGCACGAGTGTTTCTCTCAGGACTTGGTGTTTCCTTTGATTAGCTCCTTTGCCCTGTCCTCTGTGAGCTTCAAAGTGTGTCCGCCGGATTGGTCTCACTTACTGGATACATCGACATGAGCTGCAGTTTCTTCGTCAGCGATTTGCTGGTGATAGCCCTTCACTAGGCGCTGTACTGTGCAAGCACTAAAATTCAAGCTCGCGAAGCGCTTTTTCAGCTTTTCTATACCTCCCCGGGACAAACAATTCTTGCCATCAGACAGCTGGAAGTAGACAGAAACTGTATTCTCCATCGCTCTGAAATGCGAACATCCTGACCTATTTTATGGACTCGAGCGGAGGTTGCAGTGTTTTCTTGCGCTGACGGAAGTGTTCGTCGGCGGCAGCTCCGTCAAAAAGACTCAAACGAACCGATCGCAACTTCTGTGATGGTTTGTGCTGCCATGTCGTCGGATGCAATGGTCAATGGTCATGTTCGGATGGTGAATCGGTGGTTCCATGCCGTGTGGCACAGGCAGAACACCAAAAAACCAAGTGAGAAGATAAGCGCCAATTTTAACTGGGCGGACCAAGTACATGTACGCAGAACTAACGTAAGTCGTTGTTACTTCACTGCCGACTGGCATGTTCTTGCATGAATCGGAGAGCGATGACCGTGTTCTTGACAGAATCTTGTTCAAGTTTGTTAGGACAGATCGTGGACACGTACTGGTGCATGTGGCACGGGACGCGACAACCTTGGAGAACACGCTCGAGCCAATCACCTTCGAGAACACACTCGAGCCAATCACCTTGGAGAACACGCTCATGCTTTACGGGATCAATCATCGTCCCCGTTTTGATGAGAAGATTTGACCAATCTGTGAGCATCATTTTCGGGAGTCGGTTAATAGACAGCAATCTAAGCAATTCTGCCCTCCCATATTTTCTTTTCAGGCAGCGCTCCGGAGCTGTTGTGTGCCCTGGAAAATTTCTACGCCAACGTCTGTAAACAGAACATTTCTGAGTACAAACGAAATTCCTTGCTTGACGCTCGATTCGCAATCCATCGACATGTCGAGTGTCCAAAACCTTGTTTGCTTGCTGGCTGGTAACTTTTCACCACCTGGTCACATGCGGATTCAGCACCCAGCGGCAAGCAAGGAATTTCTCTTGTACTCAGAAAAGTCCTGTTTGCGGAAGTTAGCTTAGAAACTTTCTACGGCACTCGCCAGTTCCGGTGCGCTGACTGAAGAGAAATCAAGCGCAGCACCAAGTACTGCACTCTTTATAGTTAGTATCAAAAAGTGGTGAATATAAGTGGTGAATATCTAGCAATATCCACCACTTCTGTAGATGGCCAATTGCATGTGGGTGATTATTGAATGAGGTATAAGCCAGTGTATGTAGAGCAAAAAGTATGTATTTTTGCGTATGAATATAGCATACAGACAGACTAAGACAACAATAGTAACAGCACACAAATTGAAGGGCAGTTGAGCCCAGATAGATGAGAACAGGATAAAGAGAGAAGTCCTATGTTAAAAGGAATAACGCACCTGTTTGTTCAGAGCGCTCCGCTCTATCTGCGTCAACTTTGTTCAACAATGGTTGAAGGTCACACACAAAACTATCCAGGTCAAACTCATTGGGATCGTCTGTTGCAAAAGCAGCAAAATACAGAAGGCACAGATGACACATGAACATACAACTACACACAACTACATGTCCAGAAACAAATAAAAATGGAATTGCACAACATCGATAATACATGGAAAGGAATTTGAGTGGACACACCCATTCCAAGAGTGCTGCACACAAATTGAAGGGCAGTTGAGCCCAGATAGATGAGAACAGGATAAAGAGAGAAGTCCTATTTTAAAAGGAATAACGCACCTGTTTGTTCAGAGAGCTTCGCTTCATCTTCCTCATGCATGTTTGCAATGCGTTCGTCCGTTGACCACATGCCATGGCTGAAGACACACACACACACGCACACACACACACACACACACACACGCACACCCACACACACCCATACACACACACACACACACACACACACACACATATGCACCCCCCACACACACACACACACATGTACACACACACACACACACACACACACACACATGTACACACCTCAGAACTCAGACATGCCCATCACGGAAGCGATGATAGCGAACATCTACGTTAGACATAGCAACTTGTGCTGGGATTTCATCATTCAACAGCTTGCAAGGCTGATGAATTGACTGCCACTACTTCTTAGCCCGGTATCCATCACACAGCTGTTTAGAAGTGACTTTTTCTGGCCAGTGAATCCCTATTTTTCATTTTTCCATTTTTTCTACACACACCACACCACATACTCCGGCATACACTGACTGTAGGTAACCACCCAGGAGAATGAAAGAAAAGTCAGGAAGAGTCCGAGAAAGAGAAGAACGACGTGTGAGACCATAATCGTCGGGAATTGAACCCGCAACCTCTCGATTGGAAATCGACTGCACATACCACTGCACTGTATGGGACACACACACACACACACACACACACACACACACACACACACACACACACATACATACAAACGTTCAAAACAAAAAAACATGCAATATACTGACCATATGTCATATGATGACATAAATCAATACATGCGCACACATGTAGATGCCCATATTCCTGGCCGCACTCCTGCGCGCATTCCTGCTCACACTCTTGACAATGCCCAAACACCTGCCCACACTCCTGTCCGCACACTTTGCCCACACTTCTCTGCCCACAGTCCCCTGCCCACACTTCTCTGCCCACAGTCCCCGCCCACACTTCTCTGCGCGCATTCCTGATCACACTCCTGCCCACACACCTGCCAGCATTTCTGAACATGCTCATACTCCTCCCCTCAATTCTCTACTCGCATTCTTGATCACACTCCTGCCCACACTCCTGCCGGCACTCCTCCCCCCCCCCACACACACACACTCCTGAGTCCTGTCCGCACTCCTGCACACTTGCCCGCACTCCTACCCACAATCCTGATCACACCCCTGATCACACTTCTGCCTGCCCTCCTCAGTCCTGCCTGCACTACTGCCCACACTCCTCAATCCTGCCTACACGTCTGAATGCACTACTGCCTACACTACTGCCTACACTACTGCCTACACTACTGCCTACACTACTGCCTGTACAGGCCCGTAGCAGCCCCATTTTGGTTGGTCCGGCAAGATCCGACCTCGATGCCTCCCCCCCCCCCCCCAAGCCCACACTCACACATATGCCGGTCCATGTACAAAATCATCACGGTACATAATTGTGCGTGTATGTGTAATCGTGACCATGCAGAGTGACATATGGCGAGAAAAGGAAGAAGGATCTTCTGCATGAGTCAGGAAAAAGGGCATCAGCATGTTGTGTCCGTCCAAACAGAACTTATTGAAGCCTATGAAGGCATAGCAACAGTATCTAAATGCATGTGATACAAGTACTAAATGGATCTTTGGAGGAGGAGAAAGGACATTGCAATAGAATATCTTTGGTACAAAGCGGATCTAGAATTGGGGGGAAGAAAAGAATCCATGCATTTCAGGAAGTACAGAGTAGGAACATTCAGACATGACTGTCCAGTACTCCAAGGCATATACATGTACATGTCACGATCATGTCAACTTGCAAAGAAGTGCAGGAAGTGGGCACAGGAAGTGGGCACATCCACAACTTACTTGGCACAAGCCAGTGGTGAAATATTATCGTCAGAAATGATCAGATGTAGTACATACAGTGCTGCCAAATAATTTTCGCCCAAAATCGGACACCCTTCACCACCAAGGCTGGCCACATGGTGCGAATTTTTCTCCTCGGCAAATTTTTTACAGATAATTCAAAATATCGCCTAAAACACCATGAAAAATCGCTCCGTTGCCATGGTAACCCCAGAGTTGTCATGAATTTTGTAATGATGAGTGTGGTCGCACACGGACTCTGTACAGACTGTCAGTGTACATGCCATCCAGCCTGATCCAGGCATGTTACTTTGCACTTCCACAGCCAAGCGCTAGTCATTTTAGAAGCAAATGTACAGTGATGTGTGCCTTCAGTTGCGCTGAAAAGTGAAAGTACAGGACTTCTGCATAGGAAAGTAATGATCTCCGACATTTTGGCTGCTTTTCGGACGTTTCCCTTTTCGGACCGGTTTTCGGAAGAGCCTTCAAAAATCGGACGGTTTGGCAGCACTGTACATAGTCAGTAGCAGTTCACAATGCACTGAAAAAGCATGTGACTTACATGTTACAAGATACCGTCACACGTATACCAGTAATTTATAGCAAGTCTGTGCATGTAGATCTACGTGGGTGTTGTCCTGTGCTGTGACCTCCTGCCATTCCTCCTGCCATGGTACATGTACATGACATCAAGAGTATGTAACCCCCACCCTCCCGGTTTATACACTTGATACCATGTACTACCTCTACTTATTGCACACATCATCATGGGTGGACATCCTGAGCTGCGCACATATATGTGTGAGCTCCCGCTTTTTTTTTTTTTTTTTGCCGAACATTGGTCCGGCAGCTGCCGGACCTGCCGGACCGCCTGCTACGGCCCTGCTGTACTACTGCCTACACTACTGCCTACACTACTGCCTGCACTACTGCCTACCCTACTGCCTACACTACTGCCTACACTACTGCCTGCACTACTGCCTACACTACTGCCTACACTACTGCCTACACTACTGCCTACACTACTGCCTACACTACTGCCTGCACTACTGCCTACACTACTGCTTACACTACTGCCTGCACTACTGCCTACACTACTGCCTACACTACTGCCCGCAGTTCTCTTCACACATTTTACCCGACACTAGGCTTTAGGCTGTACACCCGTTCATGCACTCACCACAATATGCTGAAGTGTTTATTTCCAAAACATGTCATTAAGCGAGCAGTGTAGGGAAATTATTGCCACTGCCTACTGACCAGCACTTTGGCTGATTGGTTGTGGGCTTGCCTGCGAATCGCAAGGTTCTGAGTTCAAGACCAGTGCTGACACCAGTGAGAGTGTACTCTGCTAACAAATGCTGTGATGCAAACGTGAAGCACTTTACATGCAGTTAACTGCTCTGACAACCACGGTCAACTGGCTACTCACTACACTGTATTCGTAGTGGGGGTAACATAGATGCAGCTAACGAGGCTCACACCTTGTCAGGCATTGCTTTTGATACTTACTAAGTCACCCTCACCGTCACGTGCTGCATCTGCTACCCTGATATCTCAGGCATGGTGGTGGCCTTGTACAAGCGAAACTTCCTAAACTGGTTGTGTTTCTCAACACAATAAATAGCCGGTTGTGTTGCGCATCTGCGATCTTTACTTTCTTGTGATTATGTACTTCAAATAGGGAAATGTGTTTTAAAAAAGATCTGGGAACTACACAGCTCAATAAGACCTTTCTGGTTTCTAGGGATGACGCCGCCACATGAAAATACCACATGAAAAGACCACATGAAAATACAACATGAAAGGTGTCAGATGCCGCTTCTTTACGGATGGAGAGGAAAACTCAGATTCACCAATTACAGATTATGGGCAAAGGTGAAAACCCAATTTCTGCTTTAATGTTGACCTGTTTTCCACACCTCGTGTTCCCAACTCACTGTGGTGTACAGCACAGTTGAAGCAATCCTCTTCAAGTCAGGACTTGATCATGATACATATACCTGTTATTGCACAATCATGGTCTGAGAACTCACTCACCGGGCCGGCCTGACTCATTATGTTCGAAATGGTGCAGTACATTTCACTGAACTTTACCTAGGACTGCCGGATTCAACGGTTCTATACTTCATTGTAGAGCAATGCATGAGTTTCACTGAACTTTACCTAGGACTGATTCAATGGTTGAACCGTTCTATACTTCATTGTTGAGCAATTCGTGAGTAGAACTTACAGTGGTGAAGTGCGTAGGAAAATCCCACCGCTTCCATGAACAGCATGATGCTCAGCATGGCCTGATACATTCAACAGGAATGAACAGAAAGCATAATTTAAAAACTATCCATGTCTCTGTCACAAATATTTGATTATAGGAATGGGTATCAAATCATAAAGGTTAGCATAACACACATACCCAACCAGTCATGTGTTCATTATCGACAGAGAAAAATATTCTTTTTTTCGTATAGAATCCCATGCAAACAGAAGTTTTCTTTGTGACCTGAGCAAGCCCATAGATCAAGTTGTGTTGCAAGATAGTGTGAAGTACACATTTGCACGCAAGTATTCTAGCACTAGGATACAAGGAGCACACATGGTGTATTTAGCACATTCAGCTTTACCAGCATCATCTTGGCGAGCAGCAGTGGACTGACTGGCGTGATCAGAGTGTGTCTGGCTGCTCGAAGGAACACTGTCTACAGAGTCTGATTGAACAGTGGATGCAGCAGAGTCTGATTGAACAGTGGATGCAGTAGCTCCGGTGGAGACCGGCTGGACGGCTTGCACCCGACGCTTCCGGAATATGTCCGGGAAATCGGTGGCCAGCTGCATTGCGGAGAGTAACAAATATTACAAAAAAGCGACAAACATTGCCCTGACATCAACATCAGCTAGTGTCCATATCATCCATACCACTGAGAATCAAATCAACGAGAGGCACACGGCCAGAACACGACCGAGAATGCATTGTGAAATGTGTAATGGTAAGTGATAGATATTTTGTTAGTAAAATTGTAAAACAACTTGCATACTTCAACAGAGACACAGTCAGACAGAGACTGAGACGGGGGGGGGGATACAGAGAGACCGAGAGAGAGAGAGAGAGAGAGAGAGAGAGAGAGAGAGAGAGAGAGAGAGAGAGAGAGAGAGAGAGAGAGAGAGAGAGAGAGAGAGAGAGAGAGAGAGAGAGAGAGAGAGAGAGAGAGAGAGAGAGAGAGAGAGAGAGAGAGAGAGAGAGAGAGAGAGAGAGAGAGAGAGAGAGAGAGAGAGAGAGAGAGAGAGAGAGAGAGAGAGAGAGAGGAGAGGGAGGGAGGGAGGGAGGGAGGGAGGGAGGGAGGGAGGGAGAGAGAGAGAGAGACCGAGAGAGAGAGAGAGAGAGAGAGAGAGAGAGAGAGAGACTGAGGGAGACTGAGAGAGAGACTGAGAGAGAGGGGCGTACGCAACAGGCGATCACACTCACCAGTTCTTCATGCTGCCGTAGCACCTTGCAGATCTTTGCAAAGCGCTGGGCGTTCGGTGATTTCATTAGCAGCTGGTGAAGCTTGGTCGAGGTGTGATGGTAGCCGGTAATTGCCCAGCTGTGGACCAATGCTGCTGCACATGATGAAGCTGATGATGTAAGGCCCAGGCAGGTGGCTAGTGCAGGCAGGTCGGACTCACCAAGGCTTTTTCGGACGGACTCAAAGGACTGTGCAGAGAGCAGTGAAGCATGGTTGACCGGCCATTCGAGAAGAAGCGGGGCACGATCAACGTAACGGTGGCTAGTGGAGAGAATACACTGTGTTGCTACGGAGGATCGGACTTGCTCTGCATCGTACACAGCAAAATCAAACTTGTCGCTTGGCTTGTGGAGGTGCTGACGAATGGAAGCAGAGCTGAGGATGCTCGTGGAGTAATTAGTGCCCGGACTATACTTCGCTGCTAGCTCAACAAACACCTTGCGCAACAGAGCCAGCAGACAATAGCCATCTAGCGTATCTTTAACAGGCGCATGGACAACAGCGACAGCTTGGCGCAGGCTGTGCGTGACGGAGATGCAACCACTTGCTGTGGAATGGACTGGAGTCACTACCACCAGATTCTTCCAGAGCTCAGCAGGAATGCCGTGAAGCTCGCGGAAATAGGCGTACAGCTCTGTCTGTAGCCTGATAACTAGAGCAGTGGAGAAGCAGTGCTGAGTCGTGAAAGAGACTCCTGCGCACGCCGACCGAGGTGATGAATCTTTTTTGGCCAGTGGGCCGAGGCAGTTGTCAGCGGTCGGAAGACGGCCGGGTGCCAGGATCCTTCCTTTCTCCTGCAGCAACATACCTAGCTTGATTACCATCAGCAGCAGCAGAGGGCCCTGACCTTCTGCTCCCTCGCAGCGGTTAAGCTTGGCCAGGACTTCCTGGACCTTTGCAACACCATCTCTGAAGTGGAGCATATCTTCATCGTCTAACCCAGGTTGTGCGAAAATGAGACCAATGACCGTGGAGAGCAACCAGTTGGGTCGGTTGACAATGATGTCGTGCAGCCCAGGTGATGAGAAAGAAACAATCTAGAAACAAAAACACGACATGCAAACCCATACACACAGCAACACACATAGTTGTAAGCCGACCCACGATATATGCCCAAACATGGATGCACACACATTCCACACGCATGCGCAGACAGGATATTAAAAAGGCCAAATACCTCCAAAATAATACAAAACAAAGCAAGTCAACCAGCCAATCCTCGACGCGTCATGACAGCACACTTCGCCTGACCCCACATTGAGTGGCAATGAGAAACTGTTAAATGAACCCTCCTTAGTTTTAAAGAAATGAATGTAAGGGAAACGGGTACAGATGCCCTGGCTTGAGTTGCGCGGAAATCAATGTTTTTTCCTCTCATGGACACAAATACAACCCTCTGGTGCCAGCCAAAGCAGGACTATGCAGCACATCCTCATAGAAACTCACTGTTGAAGATCAATCCATCAAAGGTGCAAAGCACAATGCACCCGTTGTCAATCATTTCTTTATCAGCCTAAAGCCAGCAATCTGTAGGTGATGTCCCCTGTCAAGCCCCAGCTAGCCATATTGTGCACAGCAACACACTAAACCTGTCCCACAATTTTCACTTCACCTTGAAGTTTCCAGCAGCCTTACACCTACTAGTATCGGTGTATAGCTGGTCTACCACTGAATAATAGATCATAAACTACAGCTAATGGCAGAATGGGCATCGCAATGTTCTAGATAAGGGCTTTAAAAGAAGTAGGGACAAATCAAACCGGTTGCATCTTTCCCTCAAACCAACGAATACGAAGAAATCCAGTTTAGGGGTCGTTGAAAAAGTTTTCTTGTTGTCCCTGAGACGAGCATCATTCGTTGGAGGGGTGGGGGGGGGGGGGGGGGCAATAATCGCGAGTCGACCGACACTACAGTCAATTCATCGGAAACTGTCCCGCTGGTTTTTGAAAGTTCGATCTGGACCGAATCGAGGTTCAAAAACCCACTTAAAATCTCAAGAATCTCATTCTGGGTTTGGGATTTGCTTCTCCACATATTTTGCCATGCCATACCTGTCCAATTTTGTAAACCTGGCTGAATTTCTATTTCCCTGTTCTTGGGCTTTTATGCCCTCAAATGTGGCAAGGAGTAATTGCACGGGTCACACCATGCCGGATGTACTGTTGTTTTCACGATATCTACAACTATGTGAGAGAGACACCAAAAAGGTAGGGTGCCAGTTTTCAATAAATCGGGAAAAAATCACAAGTCGACCGATACTATACATATGTACATGACTACATTATATATGCATGCGATTTTCGTTGTCCAGCATAGCAAGCTGCGTTCGTTTCATAGGGAGTGGAGGGGTCCGAGTAAGAAATGAGCGATGTTTGTTTCAAGGACGATAAAGCACTTTTGCGACGACCCGTTAGAGATGTACATGACATACATGACATACATCATAACATCAAAAAGTATTCTTTCTAGACCAAAGAGTGGTATATTTGATAACATTTAATAACGATAGAAATATTTCCGATACTTCTCCAGACGTTTCGTTGTTCTGAACGACATCGTCAGTGGATAAAGAATGCATCCACTGACGATGTTGTTCAGAACAACGAAACGTCTGGAGAAGTATCGTAAATATTTCTATCGTTATTAAATGTTATCAAATATACCACTCTTTGGTCAAGAAAGAATACTTTTTTGATATCACAATGAGCGTGAATAATCAACGGCTTGTCCACCAACTCTTATACATCATAACATGAAATACATCTACTGCAAGTAAATTGAAATTACTCTATCTGCAGATTATGTACATACCAGGCCATACGCATTGAGGATCTTGCGATATCGACGGATTTGTTCGGCGTTGATGCTGTCTTCATCGTCATTATACTCTACGTGGCTAGCAGCACAAAGCTGTCGCGAGAACTCCCGACTTGTTGAGAATGGCTCTCGGATGTTGTCATGCAGTTGTGGCAGTATTTTCTCTGCCTGCCCGAGCACTTTGGGTTGCTGGCGAGATTTCTGAACATGCACATCAACACATTGGGTAAAGTACTCTCTGTTCACAAACGTGATTAACCATTTTATCGTTAATGACGCATGTATACGTCACTGAGAACGAACCCAATCCACTAATGACGTACTTCCTCCGTAAGCAAAACTTCATTGCATATTTACAGTTCAGTCTAAAGCATTCTATGGCTACAAACACACTTTGAAAAGTGGAAAACACAGCAGCATATGAGAGATTAGTTATTTACAGATGTCACACAGATCGTTTCAAAGCAGTCCAGCTTCACTCTTCGTCTGAATCTGATGACGACTCATTCCATGATGACATCGAGTCTGCATCCTCGCTGACATTCGTTTTTTGTTCCGCAGCCTTTACAAGTTGCCAAGAGACTAATTAATCATGGAGATCGCCAGTTCTTTGCCAGAACTGTGAGCTTGACGCCCTCCACAGTGGCACTCGTAGTTGTTGTCTCTGCCACTCTCCAGAATGCCGTGATGGAAAGAGGCCTACAGACACAGCCAAACGCTCCTCATCTTGGCAACAGGGTATTCATGCCAACATGTTTCCACAGCTTGCAGAAGCTTCTTTCTGGTTTCCTTCGTCACAAGTGACCAGTCTGCCTGCAGGCTGTGGAAGAATACCAAGTCGTGGAAGTTGAGATTGGGACTTTGAGCCGGCTGAATGGCAACCCGAATGTCAAACTCTTTTGCTTTCCCCTGCGCTGCTAACACACCTGCATTGATTTTGGCTGTGTGTGGACGCGCACCATCGTGCTGGTACGGCATGCAGTGGCTGGCCGGCTTCTTCGCTCATCTTTTCAACTGTTTCTCATCTTCGCACTTCGGTGTCGGCTGGGCCTGGCTGGGGTTGTGTTCTGGTGCCAATTTTCGAAAGAACTCCACCCTTTTCGGAGGTTCAAAAGTCTGTCAGAACAATAGTCGACACTGCACCTACCCTATGCAGGGGATAAATCACTGAAATGTTTGTCTATTGCCCACAAAAGAGAACATGAAAAGAAGACAATAAACACAAAGTTTTGTGTAATGGGGGAAGTGTATTATCCTCCTGAAAAGGGAAGAGCTTTCATAAAAGTATGGTGAAATAGAATGTTGTTGCAGCTGCGAGTTTCCCGCATATGAGATCAAACAAAAGGCATTATGCCATGAACAATAGATGAACAATAAAACACCACTACAGTCAAACCTAGGTTAACGGACCTCTGCTATTAGTGACCACCTGATTTTTAGAGGCTGTTGTTCCATGCACCGACAGTTCTACATAGAAATTGTTCTGGGAACGTTGCGTGACCTGCGACCGACTATTAGTGTACCAAGTGCCATATCTGACCTGCATATACAGAGACCACAAGTGGCTGTCCTGACTGTCAAGCTTGACGGCAATAGGCTAGAAAACAATGAAGTTTGATCAGAAGCAAGCACATGCAGTCATTGGCATGACCATGGCAGCTGCGCTGCATGCACTCGAACGAGGTGTGAAAACTCGTAGGTGCTTCGCCTTCTGAATGAAAGTGTTCTATGTACAAAAACCTGTCAAGTTGTGTGTATAGAAGTATGTACACGATCCGGGATGCTGCGAATGTACGGGACCTTATTCTAAAGATCATCTGGCTTTAATGATTGCTCTTGTTTGAGATGGAACCTGAACGCGAATCACTCAAAAACAGAACATACCACCGTCGTCCGATTTCCCAATAGGAACCAAGAAACATGGCGTACTGTCCGCAAACTAGGCTCCCTCGTGGGTGATGCCGAAAATGCTACTCGGAGGCGTCAACTGGCCCCCGCCGCCTTCAGCTCACTCCTCAAGATCTGGAACCAGATATGCCAGATCAGGGAAGGTCTTCGGCTGAGGCTCTACAACGCCTACGTCATCCCTGTTCCTACCTACAACTGCAACACTTGGGGTCTACTGATGTCGGAGCTCGTGCGAATGGATTTGTTCCCCAGGACCCAGCTAAGGAGCATCATCGATATGCGATATCCAAAATAAAACCAGGAATGACACTCTTTACAAGTGGTGCAGAGCTGCGCCCATCAGCGAGATGATCACAAGGCAGCGCTACAGTCTAACTGGCCATATCTTTCGTGTGGCCCCAATTGCTCCTCATCAGCTGGCAGTGGATATAATATATCTCCGCTTGGCCAACGACCATGGCACTAAACGTTTCAGGCGTCGACCTAAGACAATTTTGGCAACGGTCTTGCAGACGGAATTGTCATCATGGCATGGACTTACCCTCCACCAGCCGCTAGATGCTGACACAGTCCACACAATGGCAGCGGATCGACAGGCATGGCTTGGAGCCAGCCCCACCTAACAGGACTGATTATTGTGATTCACGCGATTACGCCAGACATATAATATGTATATTCACGAGTCACAGAAAAACCACGCGTCTTGATTGTCGTAACTTAAAGTTTCATGCCATATAGCAATCTTCAGACAACTGATTACAGTGATGCACAGCTAGTATGGTATTTATCCACTAGCATAGGAAGGAATCTGTGAAGGTTTGAGGTCTGGTGGGTGCAAAAAGTCCTGGATGGAAAATGTGCCAAACTCACATGGTCCGTGAGTGAGAAAAGAAATATGATATGGCAGGAAGGCAAGCAAGGCTGTGTGAAAGGATGATAATGATAATGTGGCTTGCCTGTAATCACAATCGTGCAGATGCAAGATGCCACACACTTTGGTAAGCGCAATAAAAAATAAGTTGGAGGAGGGGAGATACTTGCTCTTCAATGCGCCAACAAAACAGGTGCAAGATGGAAATTTCCACGCGCTGTGATGGCTATAGGTGCTTAGAATGGGCGAGGAACATGAAAAGAAATGACCGTGATGACGCGACGTCAAGCGAGGCTATATGCAAGATACCACACCCATAATTAGAAGGGCTGCAGACGGGTGCAAATGGCTGTCGCGCGTCATGTAGCTGCAAGTCACGTGACTCCGTACCCACCAAGCAGGAACTTGGCAGAGTGCCTGCACTTTGATACGAGCTCCGTTCGCTTGTTGAGGGAGGTGCTGCGATCGGATATGCTGATGTGATATTTCTCTGCGATACATAGGTTGCAACGCTTGGTGACATTGGTGTACGCCTGTGCACGTTCCTTGATAGACCAGCCAATCTCATAGGCCTTGTTCTGGCGTTTTAGGCTCCAGACATACTTTGCCAGCTCCGTACTTGCTTCATACCGCTCGTGGCGCAGCGACGTCATATGATCATGTCACAACCTATGTATTGCAGTTATGGCAAGTTATATGCTATGGCAAGCTATGGCAAGTTGAGACTCAGATTGTTCCTGTAGTAGTTGGGACTTTGGGCACGTTTCCTATCAGTTGCCAGGATACCTTGACACCATCGGTATCACCAGCTACTGTTCTGTGTCTGAATTGCAAAAGAATGCTCTCTTTGGCTCAGCAGCTATACTGCATAAGGTCCTTGCTTTGTTATGTTCTGGGGTGGGTGGTGGAGTTCTTTCGGTCCTATTTTCCTCCAAACCTTCTCGTGTTTCCTATGACCGATATTTAGAAAACTGTTGCGTGTTTCTTTCTGTTGTTTACCTACCATCATTTTAATATCCATAATTATTATGATGCATGGCCCAACCTTTGGCTGCTGGATGCTAGCTCAGTGGGTGCCTATCTCTGGCCTTCGGCCGAGTGCTCATGGATAATTGGATAATTCAAAGGATGAGTCGGGGAAGTGAACTGCCTAAAAAGTGAAAAAATCCCAAGACCCCCAGGACCTTGCCCTGGTGGCTGAGTAGATCAGACTCACAGCCACGAGGTCTTGGACCAAAAATCGCTGATCCATATTTTCCCTCGTGTCAGGCCATGATCCAGGCACTATCCCTGCAGCTTGCCACTTTCTATGCAAACATTATTTTGTGAAGGTCATTCTTGGAACATCGTATAAGGTTGCTTTCCAGTTTGAATAGATCTTTCATAACCAAATCCACAATTCACGGGAGAGGTGCAAGTGCGGATCATCACAAATGATTATAAACTCTGTCTAATGCACTGGTGTGCATTGCAGTTCTATCTCTGTCTCTCTTTAACTCCCACTCTCACTCTCTGTCTCCCTAACTCTTTCTCTCCATCTTTCTCTTCGTCTCTTTTTGCCTCTCTTTCTTTCATTCTCTTCTCTCTTGCTCTTTTCTCTTTCCCTTTCTCGTTCTCATTATCTATCTCTTTATCCCTCTCCCTCTTTCTCTCCATCTTTCCATCTTTGCCTTTCTCTATCACACTTTATCTTTCCTGATCCCTTTACTATCCCCTAGTTTCTTCACTAGTGTTAATTGAAATCTGGTTTTCAGTTTTACTTACGCTCAGAATATCTCTGCAGACCTCAGAAAGTCTTACTCTCAGGTGGTCGAAGCTTGCGTCATTGACGGTGGCATTGATAGCAAAGCGTCCTCGAAAGTGGAGTTTATCACCAAACTCCTTCTCGACAATACTATAGCTTGTGGCAAGCTTTGCAGCAAGTTCTCTATGTTCCTCTCTCTTGATCTCGTCGAGAAAGGTCGCAATGATCATGACATTGAACGGCTGGTCTGTATTTGCAACAACAAGAGATGGGAAACGCAAACAAAAAATAATAATATATATATTTGTGGTGAGAAGATTTGAGGAAAGGTGATTTTAAGCAACACACTCTCCGCAATATCATAGTATGCAGCTAAAAAATTGGTCAAAAGAGTATTTTAAAGCAATTGTGCTAATGCTACTTCAAATGAATGGGCGACCGATAGTACGTACTAGGGTGTTATGAGCGGCCTCGAAGATATATCTCGTGAGTGAGGATGGAACCATGCCTGATCTCCATGTGTTCGGTCTCGGGCTGAGAACCTTGGTAATCTACTGGAGAAGTGGCTGCACAGGCCAGTCAGAAGTGTGCGCTGCTGTTTCTGCGACAAACAAAGAAGAAGCAGCTCATGCCGACCAGGCTGATTCTATTATCAGATCTCTGGAGAGCAAAGTCTGGAGATGGAGAAGACAGATGCGAGTTCTCTGAATGTTTCCGAAAATTTGGGCTCCATCGGGCATAGACAATTTTTGTATGGACATTTCGGACGTTGCTCAATTGGAGAAGGGAGCAGAGTATTTGAACCAAGGGCACGGGGTCTTCCATTCAAGGCTCTCAACAATAACGGATCTGAACGTTTTCGATCCAGAAGCTGTTTGCTGTTTTCTCACT